TTACATTTGTCCTTGTCAAAGCTCTCTAAAAGATAAATGATATTTTCAACTTGAAATGAACAAAAGGAATAGAAAAAAAAATATTTATGTATGCCAAGGATTGATTAATTCATTTATTTACATGGAACATATGTAAGGAATTAAGTCACATTTCGTCCTTCATACATCTGTCTCTTCAGATTCTGCCTGCGCTCAACATTGTTTCTCAGCTTTGTTTACAAAAGCTTTGACTTCCAAGCTCAAGGATATATAAATACAGGTATCTATAGATCCGTCTGCTTTTGGGACTGGGACCATATTATAGCTGTCACAATTACTCTTAGCTCGATTTTACCCGATTTATTAAAAAGCATCAATTAAAAGTTTCCTTCTCGATTACTCACCAGTATGGCAGAAGACAGTCAGTGCAAAGCGGTCAAGGGTCCAAATAAACAGCAAAAGCATCAGGTGTGAAAGCATTTCACGTTAAAAGTGAATGAAATTGCAGTCGTTTGTCAGTATTGCGGAGCGGACTTTAAATATCACTCCAGCACTACTGCATTACAAATAGATCTTAAAAGAAGACATTCTGGTTCGACGGACGCGCCCTGTAATGTGAGGTTACCCATAGATGTGTGCCGTTACTCTCGGTGTAGCCTACCCTGTCTTCGTCATCACTCATGACTTATCATTTTGCTTAAATTACAATCTCTATGTCAACATAATCAGCACTAAAACCAGGGTTATAACCCTGTCACTTAGCCAAATTTTTTTCGTAACATGGTACATAACCAGATGTTTTGAGCTATTGCGTGTTTTTGCATAGGGCTGAACGATATTGGGGGGGGAAAAAAGTTCACATTGTGATAACATTTTTGCAGTATTTAAGAGTTTTTAAAATTAAGCTTTGTTTGGCTATATAGTATGGCCATTAGTTGTGCCAATGGATACACAGCAGTGCTGACAAATCACTTGCTTTTAGTTCAGTTTTATCTCTGTGGAACACTGAATATTTCCATAGAGCGGAAGACAAATGTCTTTTTGTAACCAGTTCTTGTTCGCTTCTCATTTTTGTTTAATGTCTCAAAGTATAAAAGTGTAGCAGTTCAGTGAGATATTCAGGTGCCAGCCCGTTCAGTGCTTTAAAAACAGACAACAACATTTTAAACTCAGTTCTAAACCTCACAGGTAGCCAGTGAAGTGAGGCCAATATTGGAGAAATATGATCATGCTTACGCTTACCAGCGAGGAGACAAACTGCTGCGTTTTGCACTAACTGCAGATGAAGAATTAGCGATTGATCGACTCCAAAATATAATGAATTACAATAATCCAACCAGGAGGTTATAAAACCATGGATAACCTTCTCAAGAACTTTAAGGGGGAGATATAGCTAGGGTTAAAGGTTAAGTCTCAATTGATAAAAACTTGTTTTAATGACAGAGCTCACCTGATTATTAAATTTAAAAGCATTACCAAAGGTCACACCTAGGTTCTTAACAAATGAGCGAATATAAGGAGAAAGAGGATCCAAAAGACCAGAAAAGCAATCCATACACTTATGGCCAAATAGAATAATCTCTGTCTTGCTATCATTGAGGTTTAAAAAATTACAGCTCATCCAAGGTTTAACTCGTCCAAGCAATCAAACAATTGCTGAATACAATCATTCCTGCTAAGAGTTAAAGGCAGATAAATTTGTACATCATCTGCAAAACAGTGAATGGCAATATTTTATATTTTTCGAATATAGACCTCAGTGGCAATAAATACAGTAAAAAGAGTATAGGGCCCAGGACAGAGCCTTGGGGGACTCCAGAAGTAAGAGGAGGCGTAGCTGAAGAGAATTCACCCAAATGAACGGAAATGCTTCGACCAGTTAGGTAGGACTGAAACCATGAGAGGGGCCAAGCTGAGACTGGCATTTATCAAAGGAAGTACAATCGGCCTAACGGTATCAAAAACATCTTTAAGGAGACGAGAAGGAATACTCAGAAGGACAGTATGTAGGCCGCAGCTGCTTTACGATGCCTGAAAGTGACGAGAATTGCATAACCAATTGACACTGAACACATTTGCAAGTCCAAAGTCCTGAAAAGCACCCCAGCTGCTTTGGTACTTTGTGTCCTGGAACTTTTGGCACAGGTTCTCGACCGGAAGTCAGTGGAAAAGGGAAAGTACTGAAAGTACTGTACCAAAAGTACAGTGACCGGTGCAATGGAGAAGTGCCCTAAATCAGCATTCTGGCATCTCCATAGTTTAGATAAAATTTGAAAACTTTGTCTAAGTAAGATTACGTAAGATGCCGGCTTGACCACTGTAATGCTCTTTTCGCTGGCCTTCCCAATAAGACTATTAGGCAGTTATAGCATTAGCAGTTAGTATTTGTCAGAGTTACAGCTTACCCCAAGAAAAGAACTCATCACTCTGGTTCTTAGATCCTTGCATTGGTTTCCAGTCAGATACAGAATCAGTTTCAAAGTTTTTATTTATATATCAATCACTTAAAGCAGGGGTGTCCAATCTTATCCGCAAAGGGCCGGTGTGTATGCGGGTTTTCGCTGCAACTCTCTAATTAGATTACTAATTAGAGGACTGATTGGCTGAAGAGTCCTCACACCTGGGTTTGAACAGCTGACCTACAGGTTATCCCAAAAACCTGCACACACCCCGGCCCTTTGCGGATAAGATTGGACACCCCTGACTTAAAGGGTCAGCCTTGAAGTATATTTCTGAAATGCTCGTTGACTGTAAGCCTTAGATCCACAGGAGCTGCTCAGCTAGTGGTGCCCAGAGTAGCATCCAAACCAGGTGAAATGGCATTTAGCCATTATGCTGCCAAAGTCTGGAATCATCTACCTTGGATATCAGATGTGCCCCAAATCTTGCTAGTTTTGAAATCTCTCCTGTTTTTAACAGCCTTTGATTTGTTTACACGAGTTTTACTTTGTATCATTTTAACACGTGTTTTTTTTGTTGTCCTTTTTAATCTGTATTGTCTTAGATTCTGTTATAAATCTGTAAAGCACATTAACTGATCTCTATGTCTGATAATGTGCAACTTAAATTTAACTTGAATTTGAACTTTGTAAAACGAGTCTGTACTGTACTGTATGTAGTTACTACTTTATTACTGTATTATTGTTATGTACTCTATACGTTTATGTTGTTCCACTGTCTTTGGAAGTCAGAGCTCCACACAGACCATTTAGTTGCATTTTGTGGCCATGTCTGCATGGTGTCATCAAGCATTAGACATCACCTGCTACTATTTAAATGTATTGGTTGTATATGAGCTGAGCCACCATCTTAAATTCGGATGTACGCCATTGGTGCGACCATAAGCCAGTCGTTAGTTTGGAAATTGCAAACAAACATAAAGGCCAGTCTTTATGTACAAATGTGTAAGACAGATGTGTAACAACCATGGTTTAAGGAGCTATCATGCGTTTTTAAATGCACAGCCGCGGAGGGAGTGTGTGTGTGTGTGTGTGTGTGTGTGTGTGTGTGTGTGTGTGTGTGTGTGTGTGAGAGAGAGAGAGGTAACACTTTACTTAAAGCATACATACCGTCATAATGCATTATGATGCCTTCATAAAGTAATATAAAGACAGCTACAAATATTTTTAAAATGCTTAAAACATTGTCTATTACGTATTATGACTGCTCTATGAAGCTCTCATCAATAATGCACTATAAATACTTTCCTAATGCATTATAATGATCAGTATAAGAATTAAGGATGCTTTGTACTGCATTATGAAGGTATTTAATGATTTTTTTTTTTCTTTTTAGTATTATCTAGCATATATTTAAAAATAAAGTTTTACTGTTACTCATGCATGAGCTCTGCATGTGCTTTGCAGGTCCATCATAATCCATTTCCTCCTTGCTGTTTCCTCACTCAAGTGTTTGTTAGAAACATTTCTTTGAACTCCTTTTTGCTTCATAATTATTGCAGTTTTTGCCAATGTTGTGTGGCTGTAATACTAACTACGCAATACTGGCTACTGTGAGAGATCTCTCAACATATAATGCAACATTCAGTAAAGCGATATGTGACGGAGCAAAGTACAAGTACTGTACGAAGTGGAGCAGTGGTTAGAATACAGAGAATGCTGCAGCGGTGTTGCATAATTAGTGACTTGCTGTGAAGGTAGCTAGTGTAAAACATTTCATGCCACAGCCTCGTCCAAACAAGAAAGACTGAAGTCAAAAGAGCTGACCAAGATGGGTTTTCTAGCACTGCCCCCTGGTGGACATTACATAAATCTGGAGGACTAAAAGTTACCTCTACGTGCAAGTATGAGTGACAGCGTGCGTAAGCATACATGTTGCAAGCGTGGAGTATAAACTGGCCCTTAGGAATAGGTCTCGTTCGTAATCCAAGGACTGCCTGTTTTGCAAAAGTACAATAGATACAAATTAATCATTAGAAAATGTTTGCTTGTGTGCCGGAGGGCTGCTGTGAATGGAGGCTGTATGTTGTGCATCTACTGCATTGGCCGGGTTGCTGCAGTGGGGAGGAGCATCAGACCCGTCGCCGGACTCTGTCTCTATGGCAACAAGCACACGCAGATCTTTCGTGTGGCATGGCTGTTTGGGGGGGGGGACAGAATGCCGGTGGCTAAGCACCTGGATGCTCTCAGCCTGGCTCAGTCGGACTTGGCTGCTAGTTCCGCTTTTGGCGTTTGTGTGTCAGGCACGTTCCAGTCTTTCGGGACTGAAAGACGCGATTTAATCAGTCTGCAGGCGCCATGACCGATCGCCAGAGGTGTTCGCCTTTACCTGCCTGCAAAACCGTGAGGACATGGTGGTCTGACGGCTTGCAGCTAAGGCAGCCTCTCAGATCTGCCGTTTGGAAACCCATCGATCGGCCAGATTGGCTTTTAAAGAATCCATTGAAAACGGCCTCTGAAGGCAGATGCTTCTGAGCTCAGCTTCTGTGTGTCTGTCGGCCTGTGCTGAGGCTCCCTGCCCTTCCTGAGACTTACGCCCTCCCCCTCCCCATCTCTCCGCAGGGCGTACTCGCTCGTCGACTCCAGCCAAGTTTCCACCTTCCTCATCTCCATCCTCCTCATCGTCTACGGCAGCTTCAGGTAAGCACCTTTCAGACTTTCCATTTTGTGCTGGACTGAAATCACTGGGATGTGGGAACGGAATCAACACAGGTGTGATGACGTCGTGCCGGGCCTGAATGAGGAGCCAAACGGGGGGGTCGTGGCAGCTCACACTGACAGCCTGGTTCTGCTGGTGTGGGAGCACTACGCTGTGGGGGGGGCGGCGTGGTCCATGACTGGTCCGCTTGAGCCGTGTTCCCGCTGCACACAGGTCGTTAAACATGGATTGTGAAAACCAGGAGAAGGATAAAGACGGGGGGTCTGCAGCTGGGGGCTTCAGCACCACAGGCGGCAACAACAACAGCAACAGTGAGTGTGGGGGGGGCAGCTGAGGACCTGCACATTATGCTGTCTGCCTGTGTGCCTGCATCACACCCAATGTCCCCGAAATATGATCATAACATGTTATTCTGGTGTTGTGGGGACATTTTTCAGTCCCCACAATGGGAAACTCAATTTTATGAAAATCTGTGACTAAAAGAGAAAGTCTTGTATTTTGTTTACTTTTGGTTAAGGTTACGGTTGGGTAGGGTTAAGGTCCTCATTGCTGGGATTAGGGTTTTCCCCCATATAGATGAATGAGCAGCCCCCACAAAGACGTGTGTGTGTGTGTGTGTGTGTGTGTGTGTGTGTGTATTCTCAGCATTCTCTCCCTTTGTGTTTCGGCCCTTGCAGGTATTCAGACCATCGACTCCACGCAGGCCCTCTTCCTGCCCATCGGTGCCTCTGTCTCCCTGCTCGTCATGTTCTTCTTCTTCGACTCTGTCCAGGTGGTCTTCACCATCTGCACCGCAGGTACCCGGCAGCCCCTCAGTCACACGGTGATGCCGCCCGGCCTGTCACTATCCCCCCCGGAGGAATCTATCTGACCCCCCTCCCCCTTCTTTCCGTAGTTTTGGCGACGATAGCATTTGCTTTCCTCCTGCTGCCCATGTGCCAGTACCTGACCCGGCCCTGCTCCCCGCAGAACAAGTAAGAACGCTGCCCGATAGTCGCGTGAGCCTCCGGCCGGTCCGGGGGTCTGGGGATGCACTTGTGTGAAGCTGAGCGCCTCCGCTGGTCACACACGGGCTCTGCACATGACCCTTTGCTTGTACCGCAGAATCTCCTTCGGCTGCTGCGGACGCTTCACCCTGGCAGAGCTGCTCTCCTTCTCCTTGTCGGTCACCCTAGTGCTTATCTGGGTGCTCACAGGACACTGGCTGCTCATGGACGGTGCGTGACGATTCCCCCCGCATGCACACGATAAACCCCCACCCCCCTGCTGGTTATCTACATATGAGTGTATCTTCGGCTGTGTGATATGAATGTAGCAGGTCTGAAATGTCAAAGTCCATCACTTAGGTTTAGCTGTCCCCAAAAGAACAAGCTGCAGAATACAGACCGCTGGCAGTGCCTGATCCTTCAGTGTGTCCACAGCTCTGGCCATGGGGCTCTGCGTCGCCATGATCGCCTTCGTCCGCCTGCCCAGCCTCAAGGTGTCCTGCCTCCTGCTCTCGGGGCTGCTCATCTACGACGTCTTCTGGGTACGTCACCCCCCCCCCCCAAAACCAGGGTTTATTGATCACTAAAACCAGTACGATTAGAAACCGCGACATGTAAGACCTACAAAGATCTGCTCGGTTCCTGTCTTGGCATAAATGTCTTCGTTTGGTGTCCTTTATAAAGTTCCCTAACAGATTTCAGTACAGTGATCCTGTCCACCTATCACGGAAGTTATGTTCCAGACCCATCAGCGATAGGTCAAAATCCGCGATATAAAAAGACCATATAAATAAACATTTTATAAATAGTTTAGCCTTAAAATACTCCTTCCACACGCTTTAAACACATGTACACTTATTAAAACACACTTTGTAAACACATATGATATGTGGATGTCGGGCTAAGGATACGAGTAATAATAATAATATAATATGTAATGTATATGTATCTACTAGGGGTGCAACGGTACAGATATCCCACAGTACGGTATGTACCTCTGTATTTGGGCCACGGTTTCGGTTCAGTTTAAATACAACACTACAAATAACACAAGAAAACAAATAATAAACTGCCTCTTATTTATGTATAAAATATCTATACATGTATAAAATTCAAACTTACAAAATGTAAACAAAAACACGTTAAAAATGTTTAAGTGCTCTAAACACTCTATATTCCACTCGAGGCTCTGTGCTTGAGCCAAATCGTTTTCGATGGCTTTGCGCGCTTTGTCATAGAGGTCGGGAATTATAACGTCGCTGAAATGTGTACGGCAGGGCACAACATAACGTGGGTCAAGCATTTTAATTAAGTGGCAAAACCCCGCATCTTCGACAACAGAAAGGGGTTGCAAATCTTTAGCAATGAACGTTCCCACTGCACGGGTTATTTTCTTATGTTAATCGGATGTAGCAGGGTATGTCTGTTGAAAAGCTTTTTCGATAGACACTTGTTTACCTGCAGTTACCTTTTCATCTGTCCTCCGTTCAGGAACCGTTATATCAGCATGACTACGCTTGAGATGCTTAGCCATATTGCTCGTGTTTCCATTAGCGTATGGGACACGTGTTAGGCAATGTTTACAAACAGTGACATTTCTATTAACTGTTTTGACTCCCTGGTCGTTGTATTCTACAGCGAACCCGAAAAAAATCCATACTGGACATTTGTACGAAGCCGGTGCTTCTTCAAACTTCTGCCTCTCAACTGTTCCGCTAGTGCTGGCCATACTTGTTTGTTTTTCTTTTTTTCTGCGTCTGCGTACCGAGCTGCGAGCTCAGCTCCAGTTACGTCAGTGTGAGAGGGCGAGTGGGTGGAGCCACACCAGTGATTGGACACTAACTCACGGTGGAGGGCTTTCGCTCATTGGCGCTTACTGTTTAACTGGAGCCTGATAAGCATTAATCGCCAATTTTCAAAAGGAAGTGCAAAAACGAAATACCGCGGTACACAAGGCCGTACCGGACCGTGCAGCGCGTACCGAACGGTCCGGTATTTTACCGAGTACCGTTGCATCCCTAGTATCTACATATGTATATACAGTGACGCGTCGGATCAAAATCCGCTATAGTGGGGGCACGATAGCTGACCCGCGATATAGCAGGGGATCACTGTATTAATAAACAGGTGATGGAAAGCATGCGCACATCCTAACGGCAGGAGTTAGCAATGTGATTAGCCTGCCTATTAGCATGTTTGACTCTAATTTACCGAACCCCCACCATCTTAATGGCTGACCATCCTCGTCTAGGCCTCTGTAGCTGAACGGATAGCGCTGCGAAGGCCAATTCATACTTCATGTGCTTTTGGCCGCACACAGGGTGACGTGACACATTTCATCCGGGTTTTGCACCAGATAGCTGTAGGCGGTGCCTGTGTAGCCGAGAACTTTGTCCGGCAGAGATCATGCACGTCCGGGCGAGTCGACTGCGCGTGTGCAAAATAATTGACTAGGTGTTTCCACTAGGTGGCAGCACTGACTTTCACAGTGCAGTGGTCAACCAAGAAAGAGTAGAGGTAGAGTAGTTATAGTAGTAGTTGTGGAGGTGCGAAGCTACCCACATATCTAATTTCTCATACTATCCAGATATTATACCACGCTATACACTATTTTAAAAAGCAGCGGCAATCCAATATTTTGGCGAAACACTTCACTGAGCTGTGGGGGAGGGGGGGGGGGTCTTCCCAGCTAATTTTGTCGTAAGGATTTCAGAATACCTTGATATGCGGAGTTACCTTAATACTACCAAAGCCTTGAATACCTTTACAACTGTTCAAAGTTAAAACGTTTCGCTACTTTACTGCTTGTATTTGTGGTTTTTGCAATACATCTGCCCTCTCCTGGTCTGGTGGAGTATCACCGCTGTATTCATGCACAGACCGCAACCATTTGCAGCCAATGGGTGCTGATGGGTAATGCGGCATGCGCGTGAAGGGGGAGGAGCCTGGCGGGGCTGCCTGGACCAGGCCTCAGCTTGTCCTTTGGTGTCAGCCTGCAGGCTGTGCTGAAGACTACCTGGGGTGTCAGACGTGGGGAAATGGGGGGCCTTGGCTCCGATAGCCACACTCCTGGGGTAACGACCACCCCTTCTGCCCCCAGGTCTTCTTCTCAGCCTACATCTTCAACAGCAATGTGATGGTGAAGGTGGCCACGCAGCCGGCCGACAACCCCCTGGACGTTCTGTCCCGCAAGCTGCACCTGGGGCCCAGTGTGGGCCGGGACGTGCCCCGCCTCTCGCTGCCCGGCAAGCTGGTCTTCCCCAGGTAGGAGAGGCAGCCGCCTCTGGCCCGGCCCGGCCTCGTCGGCCGTGACCGAAAGACGTCGCAGTTTCTCGCCTCGCTTTTCAGTCTGTATATCAACCGTGCAGCCGTTCACCCAGTAGAGGGCAGCATCGGGCACAAGGCCAGGGATGCCCCAGGCAGGATGCTGAGCACATTCACACATTATGGCCTGTTTAGAGGCTTGTTCTCCTACCAGCATCTAATTTGGGCTTTAGGAGAAACCTTGAGGAACACCACTGAACACGGAGAACGCACACATCACTCAGCCATAGCAAGCGCTGCCCCAGTTTATCCACTGCTAAATGTCTGTGCCACGCATTCATACCTTAGGGTTAATTCGTACACAAAACGCTCTTTGGGGGATCAGTCAGATGCATTCTTCGGTTTGTTGCTCCGCCCTCTGACTTTTGCCCCGCCCCCTAGTTCGACAGGGAGCCACTTCTCTATGCTGGGCATCGGGGACATTGTCATGCCAGGCCTGCTCCTCTGCTTCGTTCTGCGCTACGACAACTACAAGAAGCAGGCGGGCAGCGATCCTCTGGGCCCCCCCAACATGTCGGGTCGCATGCAGCGCGTCTCCTACTTCCACTGCACACTCATAGGATATTTCGTGGGTGAGTTTGTGGAGGGAGGGGAGCGTCGCCAGGGTAACGCCGCGGGTTCATCAGCACTCTTGCTTGTTTAAGACTCATCTTGCTGCTGTTCGATCTATGAAAGGGCTGCTGCTGAGGAATGAATAGAGGGGAGAACCTTCCAGAAGGACGTGGTTTGGAGTATTAGGATTTGCTCTGGCCATGATCATAGCATTTCTGTGAAAAGGCTCTGCCCTGTCCCTCAAAGCAGTTTCATGTGTCCTGAAGAGTACAGTCAGAACCGCAGGGAGCTGTGTTGGTGCGCCTCCTTCCCATGCCGCTCTCTCTCCTTCCGCCAGGCCTCCTGACTGCGACCGTGGCGTCCAGGATCCACCGAGCCGCCCAGCCTGCGCTGCTGTACCTCGTGCCCTTCACCCTGCTGCCCCTGCTCACCATGGCCTACCTGAAGGTGCATCTGCAGCACAGTAGCGTAGTGAAATGTTTCCTGGTGGCAGGCAGTGTTGCTGACTTGTGTCTCTGCACGCAGGGGGACCTGCGCCGCATGTGGTCGGAGCCCTTCCACACAAAGAGCAGCAACTCCCGCTTCCTGGAGGTATGATCCGGCGTCCAGGATCTCTGGGAGTGCACAGAGGAGAGACGGACTGGGTGGGGCTCCCCCTGGGCCCCGCCCCTTCCCTGGGCAGGACGCCTCCCTGCACGTGGATCTGACGACTGGATGCCCCACCCCTCTTAATCCACCCTGTGTCATCAGTTTGGCGTGTGACTGTCACTTTGACTGGAAGTCAGTTTCTAATCGGGGAGTTTTCATCCTCAGACATAAACCCCACCCTTCATCCAAACAAAAACAAGTAAATATACATTTTGTTTTTTGTTGGAGGCCATTCGGACAGCCGTGTTGGACGTCAGTGGGACCGGCCGCAACTGGGGTGTTTTTAATTTTGCTATTCTTCTCTTCCCCATTTAACCGCCGTGCTCCAGGCTGAGCTGACAGTGGGACCATGGTGTGTGTGTGTGTGTGTGTGTGTGTGTGTGTGTGTGTGTGTGTGTGTGAGGGACCAGCAGAGGGATTCAGGAGAGCAGAACTTCTACAACTTAATTTCTGTAACATTTCCATGACACTCCTCCTGAGATACTTTTCATAATTCCCTTTTATTTAGTCGATGTTGTTCCTGGAGCACAGGTGTGTGCTTGTGCTCGTATGTGCAGTGAAGCAGCGTGCTGTGTGGGTGGCCCGCCCAAATGCTTGTCCTTCCTGTGCGTCGTGGCCTCGGCTGCTCAAACAAGGACCGAAGGATGTGGCGGGTCACGTGATGCCCGTCTGCCTCGCACCCGGGACAGCAGCAGCACCACGGCACCCTTTCTTTCCGCAGCTCCTTTACAGCTTTGCAGCCGTTTTGCGGCATGGAGACGTTGGAAAGAGAACCAGACCAGAAAAAAGTGTGTGCGTGTGTGGAGTGTGTGTGTGTGTGGGGGGGGGGGGGTGCCAAATGGAGTGAGTGGTGACGCCAGTCATCAGAATTTGTCCCTGTCCAGGCGTGACCTGCCGGCCCACCGCCTGCCGCGTACGCCCCAGTCATGGGCGGGTGTGTGCCGCTCGCCGTGTCTAAGCCTGGGTCATAGCTTTGCGAATGGAGCCCTTTGCACACTGGCTGTCATGGCCTCCAGAAGTGGGTGGGGGAGGGGGAACAACATATGGACTCTCACTGCAGTAGGCATTGTAATGACAAAATAAAGATATGGATTTTTTTTTTTAAATGATTTTTTTTTTTTTTAAAGAAAAAAACTCTTATTTGTATTGTGTTCTCACTTTGTCTTTGTGCTATAGTTTAGGCTTTTCGTTACACTCCGTCCCATCCTCACAACAGAGGGCACCAGCTCTGGAACATCGCCATTATTTCAATGGACTCTGTTTAATTAACGCGGAATAAAAAAAAAAAATTGAGAATATGTGCGGCATGGATCCCGGTCACGTGACCCTAAAGGCGTCGTCTGATAGGGCGAAGGATTGGCTGTAAATAAAGACTCTAACTGTACACTGCTGTGTCTGGCGTGATCTGTCTCCTGGGTTCGGTCTTTGGATGTAACACTGTGCCGGTGATTTGTCACCCACCGATATACGTTTGCGCTAACCGGCAGTTTTTTATGCTCTATAAACAAGCACAATGCGGTAGGAACGATGTTGGTACCGTACCCATTGTCGTTACTTGTTGCTACGAGTGGGGAAATCAGCGGGAATAACATTTAGCATTTTTCACACAATTTTCGGTCTTTCATATACGTTCCGCGGGATTATTGCATATTTAGTATAGTAAAACGATTACTTGTGATTGGTTCGTTCCCTTTGCACGTTTATTACGATACACCACTGGTTTAACATTTAAAGTATATTTAAGGTGAACGTTAATCGAACCTCCCATTTTTGTGTGATGACAAGACGCAGAGTTAATCTGAAAGAGCGGATATAGAAACTGGATGGATGGAATATAAAACGCTAACCGGCGATCCGTCGCCCAACAAGAAAACACGCGGTTGCAAACGGCTGAGAAAAGAAGGTGTAACGACACGGAGAGAAGTTCAGGTTAACCGATTGCATCCACGGTAACCGGCGTCTTCATAGATACTCACTTGTTAAGATGACTAATCCGAATACATAACGCGGTATTCTGCATACAGACATTTATACATTTCAATATAAAACAGAAATATGAAATATTTTAACAGCTTGAGGATCAAAATTAACACTACATTTATTTCACAAGAAGTACAATGTAACACCTCGCTATTCAGTGTTCAGTAAATTTAAAATCACTAAAAATAGGCCTACACTTTTGTTCTTAAAATGACCAATTGTACTAGTTTTCTATTCTAGAATGGTCATATTTTTACAAATATTTCGTACAATTTCTTCCAGTAAAACCGAATAATACTTTGTTTCATTTATTAATTCGTTAACTTGTCATTACATTTCATAACCGAACAAATCTTAGTAGTCAAGAATCTGAGTGCAGGAAATATAAAGATTATTTAAAAATATATTTTTTAGTCAATTGTGTTACGGCGATAAAATATTTCTTCAGTTATTTCAATTGTTTTGTGAGAAGTTTCTGTAATCGTTTCATAACAAGAATCTTTTTAAAAATCCGCTTTTCATTAGATACAATAGATTCACTGTTTTCTCCAGGCGAAATGATTGTCTAATATATTATTATGCTATAAATAAATTGCGAATTTATTATGACAACCAAATCATATGTTAAGCAATGGTGGGTGACGATACAACAATAAAGTATAGATGTCAAAACGTACGATTTGATTAAATTGAAATAAATAATAAAATGATGTATTCGAAACATTCCAGACGACAGTGAAACTCAAAGATGAAAATGACGGTTGTAACAGGATATCCTCATTTTATGTTGAAACGGGCTGTTCCAGTCTGTGCCCCTGGGTCGTTAACCAAGACGCGTTTCTCCGTGGAGTTTTCACGACCTAAGTTCAGGATGTGCGCACTCGGTGCGCCGCTTTTAACGTACCACTAGAGGGCAGAATAGCCTGCGGGTAGTTTTAATCTCACCGCAAGCTGCATATATATTCCTGCTCTGAGGTCAGACGTTTCTGCTTTTGCCTCTTTCTTCTGCAGGGTCTGGTATTCATTCTTCTCGCTATGGGTGGACCTGACTTACGGTGAAGACACACATTTTGTAGATGTCAGGTATTTTTGTGCACAGGCCAGTGTTTCAGCATTCAGTTCATAAGCATGTGTTCCGCTCTTCAGCCCTTTCCGAATCCTTTTCGTCCCCAGTCCTCTGCTGACACCGCAAAGCCACCCCCCCCCCCCTAACCCCACCCCCACCTCTGAGCACGACGGGTCCTCCATTCTCCATCTCAGGGTGGGGTGAAAGGGTCGCGAGGCAAAAGGCTAGAGTGGATGGCTTTTTCGGACACCGCGGCAGGTGCGAGGGGCCTAATGTGAACTGGGACGCATAATCAATTCAATTCATCATCTCAAGAACAAGGCCCCTTTGTTCCAGCCACAATCACCAGTTTCTGTGAGGTAGTAGAGCATTTGAACTGAACACGCAGTAATTATAATATCACGCTGTCATTTATTAGTGTAACAGATGCTGCTTTGCAGGGACAGACACCTTACAATTGCACTACAGATATGAAGCCGTGACACCGGAGGCAATTTGCATTTCATTATATCACGAGGGACCGGTCCACTCTCAAATGGCCTGGAGCAGCAGGCCGGTCGCTGGCGGCTTTCATGTAAATTGGGAATAACATATCTGTCCTGCAGAGGTGCTGTGTTGTGGGTTTGGGTCCCCCTTGTGCTGCTTGTGGAATTTGCACATACAAGGTTTCCCTGTCTTTCCATAAGCTTCCTCCAGGCCTTGTGGTTACTCTGGTTTCATACCGCAATCCGAAATCATGCAGTTTAGCTCAATTAGTCACTCTAAATTGCCCAAAGTGTGTTATTGTGTGTGTGTATGTGCGCGCTCGCAC